GTCCTCGACCGCCTTTCTCTGTGCTTCACTTGGACTAGCCACGGTCCGTGCCGGAACTCCATTTTCCACCAAATGCCACATTTCCTTGCTCCTTAGGAAATTCTCYATCAGTAAAGCCCAATGATCAAAATGACCATCAAACTTTGGAATGGCAGGTTGCACAAACTTGTCAGAGTTCTCCATCTCTCACTCTCACTCTTACTCTTTGATAATGAAAGAGCTCTTCTAACCTTGCTCTGATACCAAAATGTTTAGTATCACAGACACAATATTGGGAAAACACTCAGTTATGGGGCTAAATGTTTCACTTTATTAATGCCACCAGAGGGCTACTTAAATACACGTACAGGGAAAGGAAAAACTAACAGAAACAAAGAACAAACTCCTAGTCTATAGGAGAGGACTAGAACAATTCAAAAATAAACAAACTCTTCCTGTAAAACAGTAACTTATTCACGTGATCATATTTGACCCACTCCAACAAAAATAAGCCAATAAATTATTTTTATAAACAATCTCAAACACCTTAAACACGTGTCCAATTGAAAGCATACCTCTTTAAAATTAAAAAATAATATTTAATTTTATAATGATTGTTATAATCTTTAAAATGGAAAAACTATTCGACTAAACACAATTTGTTTGAAGATTTTGAATTTTGATTCTTCATTTTGAAGAAATTTTGAAAGATCTGATGGAGATGCTCTTAAATAACTTGTTATGCAGCGCTATCGTGTTGACGTTTGACTTCAACGCCACGTTAATTCTTGTGGTTTCACTCTAAGGCTTGGTTTCTGTTGTAACGTGTGATGACGTGTTATGGCATGTTATGCAGTAAGACATTATTTTCTTTTACTTTTTATAAAAATATCACTTTAGGAGTAAATGATAATTATGTAAAACATCAAAGACTTAAATCAACACTAAAAGCAAACATAAAAACTAAAAAACATAAATAGGGAAATTTTCACTCTCATTACTTTATATGAATTTTTATTTCACTTTCTTATAAGTTCAATATATTTGATATAAATGATCATTTTTTCTTTTATTTTTATTATTTTATATGAATTTAGACTGTTTTATGAGATTATTCAAAACAATAACACACATAACTATATATATATATATATATATATAAACACACTAGAAGGGTACTCGTGCAATGCATCGGGACACATTTCGATTTTAATGTTTCGGTTTATCTTTTATCTATGTCGATATAATACGATTTTATATGGTTTTGAAAAAAGCGATAATGTTTTTATTTTTAAATAAAAATATTATATAAAATTTACAAAAAAATATATCAATATTAATATTAAATTAACTATTTTTTATTTTTTATTTGTATATTTTTTTTTAATTCAATTTTTTATTACTAGAAGTGTACTCGCGCAAAGCAGCGAGATATATCGTGATTTTAATATTTCATCTTATTCGTTATCTCAGTCGATGTTATAATATGGCTTTATGCGATTTTGAGAAAGCGATGATGTTTTTATTTTTGAATAAAGTATATGTTTGAAGATATCATAAAAATTTGACAAAAATATATCGATATTAGTATCAAATTAACTATTTGAAATTCCTCATTTTTTTGTGTAATTTTT